ACCAGGCATCACACAGTGACGTCATCACTGTACTGTGCTCCTCAGCATGAATGACGTAGCCGCTCAGGGTGCTGTGGCCACATCTGAGGGTGGTCTACAGGGATGTACATGGGTGTGGCCACATTTCAGGCAAGTGTATGCAGTATGAGTGTGGTCCCACTTAAGGCAGGTGTACCTGGGTGTGGCCACACTCGAGTTAGGTGTACATTTTTGTGTGGCCACACTTGAGAAAAGTGCATATGGGTGGTCAGATCTGAGAGGCAGATGTACAGGAGTGGCCACACTTGTCATGTAGGTGTACAGGTGGTTGGTCACATGTTTGAGAATGTGTAGGTGCATGAGTATGGCCACATTAAAGTAAATATACGAGTAAGGCCACACATTTAAGTGTCAATGGGATTTACTACAATTTGTGAGGTGTACAAGATTATGGCCACACAGTAAGCATGCTAAGTGTCACTACACTTGTATTACAAGAGCACTTGTGGCCAAATTTGTAAAACGTTTAAGTTGAAACACTTGTAAGGAAGGTATATGAATGTAACCACATATGTGAGGTGTGTGTACAGGTGTAGTCACACTTGTTGGATATGAGCACATGTGGTCACATGGGGAGTATGCATACTTGTGGCCACACCTGTTGAGTATATGTACATGTGTGAGTGTGGCTCCAATATGACTAGCGTATGGGTGTGGCCACAGTGAAATTTGTGTATATGTGAGGTATGTCTCAGTACCACACTACCATGACAAGTGTGGGGGGTGTGCAGGTGTGTCTTTCAGTACCACACTACCATGAGAGGTGTGGGGGGTGTGCAGGTGTGTTCAGTACCACACTACCATGATAGGTGTGGACAGTGTGGGGGGTGTGCAGGTGTGTCCCTCAGTATCACACTACCATGACAGGTGTGGGGTGCAAGTGTGTTCCTCAGTACCACAGGTGTGGGGTGTGCAGGTGTGTCCCTCAGTACAACTCTCCCTCCCCCAGTATGTGCAGTAGTGTGGAGGGAGGATCTGTCATGCTGCGGCATCCTGGTGCTGCACACTGGCCCGCTGTGACCCCTCCCCTACGGTCACCTGGTTCATGCTTACTAGAGGAACGTAAGGCTTACCTGGGATTCATGTGGCTCCCCGGCCCACCTGCCCTGGCCCCCCTGGGGGGGGGGGAGGCCTGGGAGGGGGGGTTGGGACCTGGGGATGGCCTCATGCCCGGCGTCTGTAAGTGATAAGCGCCTGTCATCCCACCGTCATGTTATCTCACTGTAAAGCTCAGCCTTCACTCCTCCAAACTATTTCAGAGAACTGCAATCTAGTCGTAACTCATCTATATAATTATAGTAATTATCAAAGTATTATTCTAACACAGGAAGACATTATAAGCTACAACTTATAACAAGACCTTAACCCCTGATGAGGAGACTCATTTTCTAAAGCTCCTTAATAGTTTAGACTATTGCTACATGAGTGAGGAAGGTCATGCTTCTGCAGCAGTACCGTAGGAGTTGACAGACGCGTTCTAAAGGGCTGATAATAACAAGTTTATCTGAAGACAGGGAGGCTAGTGCTGGCCTCAGAACTACAGAAGCATCTAGCATAAGTGTGTGGCAGTCGCAGCGCTCTCGCGTCACACCCATCAGCAGCAGCAGCACCGAGAGGTGAGGGTGCATGATGCTGTGCAGGGCTGTGGTGCCCCCCGGACCGCTCACTGGCGCGTCACTGGTCTTCATGCAAGGTGCTGAGTGACAGGCGGTCATCATGCGGGCAGGGCGGCCCTCCCCGTGTCACCCCACCACAACACACACCCCACCCATCACATAACCACAGGAAGATCTTACCAAACACCACAAATCACTTGAGGAGAACACCCAAGGCCTCGTAAGGATGGTATTGTCAAAACTTCGCAAGTACCATTGAAAAAAAGAAAAGTGTGCATGGGTCAACCAGAGAGGAATGTACAATTTCAATATGGCGTAACACAGTGATATAAAGATGTAGGTGCTCTCGTTTCAACGCCCCGAAGAGTAGAAATATCCCGGTGCGGGCGACAAAGTATAGCAGTAAATATATTTGTCTTTAAAGAACATGCATGGACTCTCACCACAGAAAACGAACACGTGTGCGGGAAGACAGTAAGAGAGGTCGCACGGCTGAGCGGTAGCATAGGGGGAGACTCAAAGGTTGCACCTCAAACAGGCGCCAGTCCTGCGAGACCCCAGTCTAACCTATCCTAACCATTAGGATTGACGTCCACCAGGAATGGGGTCCATTATAAAAAGGGGCCCATAAGGACTAGGGGCCCCAATCTTGATGGTTAGGTTATGCTGGGGCCTATTAGGACTGAGACCCATTTGAGCAGTGACCAAACTGAAGGACAACTCTCCTTGAATATACTGTACACTACTAGAAGCTGTCTCGAGCAAATAAGTAGGAGCATTCTACAGTACTTCTACTGATCCAGGCGGAGAATATCTTCCTACACAACTCTTGTATATTCTACAGGCAGACAAAGTATTATTGGTGGGAAAAAATAAATAAATTACTCTATCATGAAGCTACAGAGATTGGGAGAATTGACTACAGTTCAGCCAAACATTATTGTAATATTTTATATCATTCATATATTTAAAAAAAATACTGAAAAATCATCCTGTTTTATCAAAATTAAACTAAATAAATATAATTAACTCTTGAAAAATAATCCACATTAATAACAAACAGCATCAAACTACAAAGACAATTTATAAGAGAAACACATCATGCTATTTTTACATAAATTAATAAATCATAATATTCTATCCTGATTTCAAACAAGGCATGATATAACTTGACGTTTATGAATAAGAATATAAAAACAGATAAAAATTAAGATATACATGAAGAGGGATGGAGGAGTAGTGATGGGCATATATAGTCGAGTTTTGTTTCCCTCTGTAGTCTGGACCCTTGCCCACCACCACTACATATTATTATGGCAACAGTTACCATGGAGACGACCAAGACAGTGATGCTAGCCAACTCCTGCCATCCGTAACTTCCTTCCCTTAGCCCCCCACTTTCCTTCTCCCTTAAGTCCCTCTCCCTCCCTCAGACCCCTCTCCCTTCTACACGAGGCAGTCCATTCATGCATACCCAATTAGGTTGGTGGTAGGATTTATGACCTAACGTTTCAAATGACAACTTATACCCAAGCCAAAACAGGATACTAATACCATGTGTATTTCTGGAAAGGATTTTATTTAAGGGGATTTTATTTTTTCCCCTAGTTATATTTTGTAAGGAAATTATATTAGTATTTTCCCCCTAATTTTGTATTTATTAAAAGTTTTTGTGAATTTTTATTTTATTTTTTCAATGTCGAGTTATTTTTGGAAGGTGTTCAAGTGATTTATTTTTCTAAGCCATTTGGGTGTTGTTTATGGAAGGAAATAAAGTCAAATTGCTTTTTTTTCAGATCATTCGGTATTTTTAGAGAAGGGACACAGCCAGCCAGCCATCCCCCCCAGAACTTTGTATATTTGTGAAAGAAAATTATAAATATCAGTTTCCGGAGAATTCTCATATTTGTGGAAGATAATTTAACTGCAGTAAATTATTTTAACATGAATTTGTATTATTTCTGGAGGGAAATTAAATGACCTGATCCAATTTCCCAGGTAAGTTTTGTCGTTTCTCGGGAAAATAAGTCGGATTTTTATTCCTGGGGCTTTTTTTTTATCAATATTTATTTTTCAGATGGATGGATTTAGGTAAGTACAATTTTGTTTCTTTCTTGACTTAGTACTTTGTGAAGGACCATTGTATGTCTGCACTGTCCATGTATATACAGTATAGTACCTGCACTGTCTATGTATACTATATATCTTCACTGTCTATATATACCTACCCTGGCTATGTATAATGTACTGTATATACTTGCATTGTCTATATACTGTACATTCCTAGTCTATGTAAACTACAGGTGATATATTTTTTTAAGGATATTCACCTTATCATTTTTCCAGATTTTGAAAAAAATCTAAGTTAATTAATAAACTTATTTTCTCATTTTTTTAAGTTATTGAATTTTACAAATTCGTTTTTTCCAGATTTTGTATTTCTGAGAGGAAGGAACTGCAGCCAGCTACATAACCTCACTCCTACAGACTGGGTCATGGACGAACTGCCTCGTGATACTGTAAATGTACAGCTTAACCTACATATGATATATACCTGTACAGTGGAACCTCAACATAACGAACGTCTTTCTCCATATAGTCCGTTAAATGGAGGTTTCACATCTAATGAACACTCGATAAAATGGACTTTCATCTGTACATAGTTTGTTAGATGGAGATTTTAAAGCTAATGGACCCTCGATATAACGAACTTTCATCTCTATATATAGTCCATTAAATAGAGGTTTCATATGTAACGGAACCTCAATATAACGGACTTTCATCTCTAGTCCGTTAAATACAGGTTTTACTGTACAGTATATATATAAAGCCAAAACAAATGAAGGTCTGTGGCCACTACTTGTCGGCCCACCGTAGAGAACAGCTGAGAGGTGAGGCAACAGCTGAGAGATGAGGTAACAGCTGAGAGATGAGAGAAAAGCTGAGAGAGTGGGCGTGGTGCTTCTCTCCATCTGCTTGTGTTGTCAGCCTTCAGTGGTGGATATCCGGATGGCCTGAACATATAGTGTGAGATCCAGATAACCTGTACCCATTTACACCTAGGGATGGAGTAGGTGGAGTGGGTGGGTGGGTGATAGTCGTGAGTGATGTGTGTGTGTGTGTGTGTGTGTGTGTGTCAATGTGAAGAGGGTAGTATGGGGGTATGATAGGACGCAGATATTCAGGTCTGTCCTCAGCAAGCAGACAGGAATGTGGGGGGGGGGGAGAAGTGTGAGGAGGAGGAAAAGGAGGGAGGAAGAGGAGATGGAAGTAGGAGGAAGAGAAGGAAGGAAGGAGGACGAGGAAGGAGGAAGAAGAGGAGTTAGAGAGACGCAGGACACTTACCGGAAAGAAGCCAGGCGGCATAGGACCTCCTGGACCCATGCCGTCACTAGGAGGCATCTGACCTAACGGTGATGGTGCGGGGCCAGCATTCTGAAACACCAAAAAACACCATTATCTTATTTACTGTCACCATACTGCACCATTATCACCACTATGTAACCTACTGTCACTTTATTGCACCATTATCTTATTTACTGTCACCATACTGCACCATTATCACCACTATGTAACCTACTGTCCTTTTATTGCACCATTATCTTGTTACTGTCACAATACTGCACCATTATCACCACTATGTAACCTACTGTCCACTTTATTGCACCATTGTCTTATTTACTGTCACCATACTGCACCATTATCACCACTATGTAACCTACTGTCACTTTATTGCACCATAATCTTATTTACTGTCACAATACTGCACCATTATCACCACTATGTAACATACTGTCACTTTATTGCACCATTATCTTATTTACTGTCACAATACTGCACCATTATCACCACTATGTAACCTACTGTCACTTTATTGCACCATTATCTTATTTACTGTCACCATACTGCACCATTATCACCACTATGTAACCTACTGTCACTTTATTGCACCATAATCTTATTTACTGTCACAATACTGCACCATTATCACCACTATGTAACCTACTGTCACTTTATTGCACCATTATCTTATTTACTGTCACCATACTGCACCATTATCACCACTATGTAACATACTGTCACTTTATTGCACCATTATCTTATTTACTGTCACAATACTGCACCATTATCACCACTATGTAACATACTGTCACTTTATTGCACCATTATCTTATTTACTGTCATACTGCACCATTATCACCACTATGTTTTCTCTGTCCCTTTATTGCACCATTATCTTGTTACTGTCACCATGCTACCATTATCACCACTATGTAACCTACTGTCCTTTATTGCACCATTGTCTTATTTACTGTCACCATACTGCACCATTATCACCCACTATGTGTATACTGTCACTTTATTGCACCGCAATCTTATTTACTGTCTGTACTGCACCATTATCACCACTATGTAACCTACTGTCACTTTATTGCTGCGCCATTATCTTGTTACTGTCACCATACTGCCATTATCACCACTATGTAACCTACTGTCACTTTATTGCACCATTATCTTATTTACTGTCACCATACTGCACCATTATCACCACTATGTAACCTACTGTCACTTTATTGCACCATTATCTTATTTACTGTCACAATACTGCACCATTATCACCACTATGTAACCTACTGTCACTTTATTGCACCATTGTCTTATTTACTGTCACCATACTGCACCATTATCACCACTATGTAATACTACTGTCACTTTATTGCACTATTAACTTTATGTAATGTCACCAAACTGCACCATTATCTTATTTACTGTCAGCTTATTGCACCATTAACACCATCTTGTATTTGCTCACTGTAACACCACTAACACCAATACGTACTGTGCTTAGTACTTCACACACTTAATGGTAGAAATGTACTGTACATACTACTACTACTACTACTACTACTACTACTACTACTACTACTACTACTACTACTAATAATAATAATAATAATAATAATAATAATAATAATAATAATAATAATAAAAATAATAATAACTGTAACAACAACAACAACAACAAGCATGGCAACACTCCCCCATGACAAACAATGATAACAATAAAACAATAATAATGTCTTCTAATCCCTCACGCGGAAAAAATTTATTCTGAAATAGAGTAAACTTCTCCTCTGTAGTGAGTGAGAGGGAGGGAGGGAGGGAGGGAGGGAGGGAGGGAGGAGAGGGAGGCGGTGACGTCACAGCTCGTGCGTCACACCACTACGTCATCCATCAGCTGGTCAAGCAGGTTGCCAGCTCGTCCATTCCATCATGCCACCTCGACCCCGCCATACAGAACACTCCATCCCACTGCCAATAACTTAAATATAGCGAGTAGTAATTTGCATAGCTGGCCTATATACATTAATAAAACACATATATAACTTTTTTTACCTTTATATTAATGAGGGTACTTTTTTACATACCAATTCAATATGACACAATAGCGGGGGAGCGGACACATGCATTTCGTAAACAAAAGGATTTATGGTGAAAATTCATTCCCTACGTGGACTTTTAAAACACCACTGAGTACATTTATAAACTACACGATGAGTACAGTTTACACCTTAATAATAATATGTACGAGTTATTCTTTGTCACGGTGGAGCAGTTCTCTGTGCTGCTGAAGAGTCACGTTTTCTGTGAGTGGGGGGAGAGGGATGGGGGTGGGGAATTGAGGGGAACGCGGGTCACTGTGATTAGGCATCTCTTGTCTCTCCCCTGCAAGCCCCCTCACCCCCCCACTCCCTCACCACCACGGCAGCTGATACGCCGAGGAAGCAGTTGGATCCTCCCCACCACCACCCATACCACCCCACCACTAATACCCCTCTCCACCACCACCACCAACACCCCCCAAAGCCTGTTATTCGTGTGTACAGAGAGTCAACCAAGTGTTTCCCAGTCAGCGTTGCTATGGGAACATGTGTACAAGAGGTATTGGATCACCTGAAGATTTACCCCCCCAAGCTTATTATTTTCACCTGAAGATTAATTAACCACCTTAATACAAACCTAGAAGGGTTAGGTTAACGTTGGGTTGGGTTAATTAATCTTCAGGTGAACTAAACTGGATGAAACTTCTGATAATATTGTCTGTTATGAAATCATCCAAATTGTTAGCTGACATCATTTACCATAGCAACATTTAACAACAAAACAAAGTTAATACAAACAAAGAAAATATTTAACATCAAAACACAAACAATAATTAACAAACTAACACGTCATTATATTTTGTCATCTTGGCTGATCAGTACACACACACACACACACACACACACACACACACGCACACACACACACACACACACACACCTGTCTACTCCCCCAACCAAAACAAACGATCCAGGTAAGTGGCACTAATACCTGGGTGAGGATGTGGCACTTAGGACCCCTACTGGCACCAGGACTACTACAGGTTGTGGCACTATAAATACAATAAGGTGACGGAGTAGTGCCAATTAGTGCCTCCTCTCCCCCTTCCTCCTCCACTTCTACCTCCCCACTCCTCACCACTTCTCCCCCACTCTCCCCTCCTTACCCTCTCCCCCCCACTCTTCTCCCTCTCCCCACTCCCTCCTACCTCTCCCCCCACTCCTCCACCACCTCCCCACTCACCACCTCTCCCCACTCCTCCCACCACCTCCCCCACTCTCACCACCTCCCCCCACTCCTCACCACCTCCCCCCCCACTCTTCACCACCTCTCCCCCCTCCTCCACCACCTCCCCACTCCCTCCCTACCTCCCCCCACTCTCACCACCTCCCCCCTCCTCCCCCACCTCCCCCCCCCACTTTACTACCACCTCCCCCTCTTCACCACCTCCCCCCACTCCTCACCACCTCCCCCACTCCTCCACCTCCCCCCCTCCTCACCACCTCCCCCCCTCTTACCACCTCTCCCCACTCTCTCCACCTCCCCCCTCCTCCCACCACCTCTCCCCACTCCCTCCCCACCACCCTCTCCCCCCTCTTCCCACCTCTCCCCCCTCCTCCCACCCCCTCCCCCACTCTTCTCTCCCCACTCCTCTCCCACCTCCCCCACTCTTCTACCTCTCCCCCACTCCTCTGCCTCTCCCCCTCACCCATCACCTCCCCCTTTCTCTTCATTTACTCCTCATTACCCTTTCTTCTCTCACCACCCCTCACTCCTCACCACCACCCCTCACTCCTCACCTTCCCTCACTCCTCACCACCCCTCACTCCTCCCCTCACTCCTCACCTTCCCTCACCCGGGCGACAGAGAGGTGAATCGAGGGGAGGTTAAGATGCATGTGCCAACTGTTGTGCCACAATTAGCTTCCTTGATGACTCTCTGTCTCTCTCTCTCTCCCTTTTACATGCACAAACCTAACCTAACCCCCACACCACAGGCAATAGATAGATAGATAGATAGATAGATAGATAGATAGATAGATAGACAGACAGACAGACAGACAGACAGACAGACAGACAGACAGACAGATACAGAATGATAATTACCTTAAATTACCTGTAGGACTAACAATGGCGGGCACGTCTTAACAAGCAGTACATACCCCACACACCTGGTCTACCTGACGAGGCACTCCACCCCTCCCCTCCTCTCCATGGCACAGTGCCAGGTAGGTCAACACAAACCACATACCCACGTCAGGTGTGTGTGTGTGTGTGTGTGTGTGTGTGAACAATGATTAATAAACCAAATAGTTGTAGCTCCTTAAACCTCCACAATAACTACTACCACCACAACCAACAATCACAACCAACAACAACAACCACCACCCACCTACCACCATTCTGCCACATGCTAATAGCTCTATATATCTCCCGCCGTGTCACCAGTCTTCCCTCCCTCCCTCCCTCCCTCTCCTCCCTCTCCTCCCTCCCCTCCTCCCTCCTTCCTTCCTTCCCTCCCTACCTCCCTTTTTCCATCATTCCCTCCCTCCTCCTCCCCACCTCCCTTCCTTCCTTCTCTCCTTCCTTCCTTCCCTCCCCTTACCACACAACCTTAAACAATTAGGTTAGGTTAGGTTAGGTTAATGTTAAATTAGGTTAGGTTAAGTGAGATTTGGTTAGGTTAAGTAAGGTTAGGTTAGGTGAGATTTGGTTAGGTTAAGTAAGGTTAGGTTAAGGTTAGGTTAAGTGAGATTTGGTTAGGTTAGAAATACACAACCATACAACCTACACATACACATCCATACAGACATTAGTAATCGTGTATTTCAGCTTATAATCATAAGTATGTAATCTTTAATTATTCTTTATCTCTTATCATCTTAGTTATCATCCATACGTTTATCTCTCTCTCTCTCTCTCTCTCTCTCTCTCTCTCTCTCTCTCTTTATCTCTCTCCTTTCCAAGACAGCCTCTACCCTCTCCTCCCCAGTCAGCCTCTCCCCTCTCCTCACCCTCACCAGTCAGTCTCTCCCCTCTCCTCCCATCCCC